GCGCTCGGCGGTTGTGGGACACATCCACACGACGCCAGACACCTGTCAATGCACATCGAGACAACAGCGCAAAACAGGTGCACGCACGCACGCGGCAGTGAGTCGACTGCTCTTTGGCTTCTTGCACTGATACATTGGCATCCACGCGCCACATGCCCTCACACCTGCATCTACACGCAATCACATCACCCAAACAAGCACACAAAACACGCATGCACACCCCACGCACCAAGGGAACGGTGCCGTCTGGTGCTTGCGTTGAAGCGATGGCGGCGGCGTCGCCACGGTAGACGATTTCTCGCACGCGATTCTCACCATCCACCCGATACACGCCGTGCTGTGACGGTCGTGGAGACGGTGATGATACACAAGAGGCGCATGGAGATGAGACTGAGGTTTGTGTGTGTGTGTGTGTGTGTGTGTGTGTGTGTGTGTGTGTGTGTGTGTGTGTGTGTGTGTGTGTGTGTGCGTGTGTGTGCGTGCGTTTGCGTCTCTGTCTCTGTCTCTGTCTCTGTCTGTCTCTCTCTGTCTCTGTCTCTGTCTCTGTCTCTGTCTCTGTCTGTCTCTGTCTGTCTCTGTGTGCACGTGTGGTCATGTTCGAACCTGCCGGGCGTATTCCTTGGTGCCTGGCACCGCGACGCAGCCGATGCCGCTCTGGTCCAACAAATGGACGACAGTACACAGAGCACGGTGCCGATAAGAACACGGACACGTGTGAGTGTGCGAGCGTGTGAGCGTGTAACGTGATCCACTGCAATTCACACACGCAATGCACAGCGGGTACGAGCACGGGCACGAACTGAGGCACCAAGCAGGTGGGTGTTGATGGCGACAGCAGAAATCGCACCGATAATGAGGACCAGTCCATGGTATAATCGTCTGGAATTGACAACAGCATCTGCGAGCTGCACACCCACACGCCTGCAGGCCCACCTGGTGATGCGCGCACACGTGTGTACGTATGTATGTATGTATGTATGTATGTATGTATGTATGTATGTATGTATGTATGTATGTATGTATGTATGTATGTATGTATGTATGTATGTATGTATGTATGTATGTATGTATGTATGTATGTATGCGTGTGTGTGTGTGTGTGTGCGTGTGGTTGTATGAAGGCAACAGGGTGTGTCAGCAGTGGACAAACAGAGCATGCATGCCTGGCAATCTAGTCCTCAAACCCCCGCCGCAGTGGCGACAAGGAGCGCAAGCATGTCGGATGTTGCATGCGTGTACCCTTTGCATCCGCCTTACCGCGCTGCAGTTTGTCCATTGTGGCCAGCAGCTGGTCAACATTGCTGGCGATAAGGCTGCAGTCGCTGGTGGGGGAGGTGGCACCGAAGTTCGTGAAAGCTTTGCCGCAAGGATCGCACAGAAACGGACCGCCCTGTTGTTGTGGCACGCGCACAAGATGACAGGTTCAGTGCAGCAAAAGTGGTGGTGGTGATGGTGGTGGTGGTAGTGGTGGTGGTGGTGGCATGAGGCTGATGCTAGCACAAGGGGCTCAGTTCTTGAGCACAGGCGGGGGGGGGGGAGGGCAAGCAGCGGGTGCATGATTGCATGACCAGTCGGGGCCAATGTCATGGGCTTGTGGAGACCGAGTGGTTGTGCACAGTCATGATAGATGGGCATTGAGCGAACGCCCTGTATGACACACACAGATACGCACCAAATGAAGGATGAGGATGCGCGCCTTTGCGATGGTGTCCGCGTTGACGACTGTGAAGCCTTGCTGCGAGCTGAGCATCTCCGTGACCATGAGCAAGGCATTGACAGTGGCGCCACCGCTGCCGATGTTCACCCCGGGATCGTCAGCAGCAACCAGCACCGTTGATGATGCGATCGCGCCAGACTTGCGTCGCTTCTCCAGCTCTAGTCAAATTAACAACACAGCGAGTGGGTGTTTACCAGAACAAACCGCCCCACAGTCAGCCAATACCCACACCAAGACCAACAATGTCAACAAAGCACAGTCCTAGTACAAAAAGAACCAGCATCGAAGCTGCACTTCTGTTGTAGCCCATACCTCTAACAAACGATGAGCAGAGACCGGCCAGCGGGCTGGTCACCACGATCGCCGTCCACTCCATACTCCGGGGAGGGGGCGGGGGGTTGAATGGATGGAGGGGTGGGGAGGTGTGATAGTGTGACAAGGGTGTGACACAAGAGCAGCGGTGGGCGCAGTCGTCGCAGACACTGTCCGCCTGTAGAAATTTGTTGACATCGACACCAATCTTCACAACTGCGTTTGGCGGGAGAACGAGGAAGCGACGACGAACAACCAAAAGCAAGCAGCCGGCACACACACACACACACACACGCACACACACACACACACACTCTCTCTCTCTCTCTCTCTCACGTGTCAGCGGAGATGGGGACAGAGTCAGCTCTCGCTGATGCAATTGGGCAGAAGGATGTTGGTACGTGTGGACACGCCAGTCGCTTGTGCGAGGGTGGGAAAGAGAGACTGCGTGTATGTGTGTGCGAGCAAGCGAGACAGTAGTTTGTGTGTGTGTGTGTGTGTGTGTGCACGCTTCATGCTCTCGCTTGGCAGTGCTGATCTCGCTTGGCAGTGCTGATCCCAATCCCATACAATCCAATCCAACTCAATCCAAATCCAATGCAACTGACCCACGTTACAAGGTCGCTGTGCACAGTGCTTCTCTGCACAAGCGTTTGCTGCCCAAGATGATGCACACAAAGAACAACTCTTGAACGTGCTCGTCGCTTCGCCTGATGCATCCTCCTCCACATTTGGTGCGATTATCAATCTCAAGCAGCTACGCCACATCACATCACACATGTGCCTGCCAAGAGCAAGTGCCGACCCCTTTCTGCATTCATGCGTGCTTTCTGGCGCATATGTGCGCACCTGTCTCTCTTTATTTCCCAACGGCCTTGCCCCGCATGTCTTACCTTGGTCTTCAAGTGTTCGACATTGCAAGCTGCTGGTGCTGTCTCTTCCACGTACACTATCCCCGCTGGCACTGTCTGCAACCTCAAACCACTTCAGTTCTACTCACACTGTGCTATGTGTTTGTTGTGCTTCAGACCTGTGCAAAGCCCTTCTTGCCCACCATCGCACAGAAAAGGCGTTTCGCGCCCTCACAGCCAAGGTATCGAGATGCATGCACTTTGCCTGCCTCGATTCCGCTGCTTGACGCTGCATCTCCCCGTGTTGTAGACCATGAACTCAGCACCTTGTTGCACGTGTTGCACATGTTGTGCTTGCTGCACGTGTTGTGCTTGCTGCAATTGTTGCAGTGCTGCTGTTTCTCACTCGCTCACACACACACACACACACACTTGTTTTATCCTTTTGCACTTGATGCTTTGACGTCAATGCCCAACAGTTATCCCATGTTGCATCACGTTGTACTGCAGCTGCGTGGCAATCACTGCTTGAGCGGCAACAAGCTGTGCAGATAGATGCCACGATCCCGCTCCCAGACAGGCTGGCACACTTACTCGGTTGCCTTAGTCTGCTCAACCATCCGGTGCGCGCGCGTGTGTGTGTGTGTGTGTGTGTGTGTGTGTGTGTGTGTGTGTGTGTGTGTGTGTGTGTGTGTGTGTGTGTGTGTGTGTGTGTGTGTGTGTGATGTTTGCTCTCTTGCACTTGGGTCAGTACACTCAACTCACACATCGGAATGCGCTCCCACTCTCTTGCACTTTTTGACACACCATGACACCCATGCACATGCACAGCTTGCGCCGCTAGTGACTGCGCTGCTCCAGGGGTGGCAGCAGCACTTTGATGCCGCCGTCGCCGCCACACCGCCAGACTTTGCCTCGCACGTCATGGTGCGTCACCCCTTCACGTTTGGCATGGCTACTGGCGAGAGCATGCACACACACACACACACACACACACACACACACACACACACACACACACACACACACACACACAGATACACAGACAGACACACACATACACACACACACACTCTCTCTCCGCTTCCTTCCCCCCCCCCTTCGTTCGCTTTCTTCTTCCTCGGTCGCTCACGCACCCTCTCACACCCTTTTCTGCAGGCACTGCGGTTCTACACGCGCAAGCTGGTGTTTGGATCGCGCGCGTGTCCAGGGTGCTTGGAGGACAGCATACCCGCCATAACCGAGACCATCGTCACTGTTCTGGGGTATGCTTCCTCTCAGCCCGCGCTTGTGCGCCGTGTGCCGTCTGTGGCGTGTGGTTTAAGGGCTGCCTGTGATGTATCATCATGTGCGTGTGTGTGTCTGTGTCTGTGTGTCTCTGGCAGACTTGTGAGCGACGACACGCAAGTAAGCTCGCTCATGTCAACGACCACCACGACGACCACCACCACCATCTCAGACGTTTCCCGCCAAATCGGGAGCTGAACCGCCAAGAAGACGATGTCAAAGCACTCGTCAACGTTGTGCTGCTGCCGGTACGCAAATTGCATCGCCGTTGCTTGCACAGTTGTGAAGTTTGCTCGCACTGGTGGTGCAGCACCGTTCCACAACAACCTGCCGCCCTTGCCCTCTCAGAGACCGAGAAAGCTGCCCATGTCATCTTGTTTCAGCTGCGCAACCTCACTTTGTGTGTGCATGTGTGCTCGTTTCACGCGCGACCATTGTTCATCAGTGCTCTTTCCTCTCGCGAACACTGAGTCACTCCAAGGCGTTTCTGCTTCGCCTCATGGCACAATCCGGTGAGTCGATTCGATGGAAAGTACATGAGCCCTGCACATCGGGATGACCACCAACGCGAGTGGTTAACATGTATGCCGCACCACAGCCGCTTTTTGACCTTTACACATCTGCCCAACAATGACGTGCAGCCTCATCCACCGTTCTGTGTGCCACGTGTGCCATGCATGTCATATGACTGTGTATGTGTCATGTGTGTGTGTGTGTGTGTCACATGTGTGTGTGTGTGTGTGATGGCGACCAGGAGTTGACGGGAGGTCGGATGGCAACGCGTCCGCTGCGCTCGTGTGTCTGTGCACAGCATTTCATCGCGCAGTAAAGACGGAGCAATCGTGGCTGCTTGACGACGAGGCGCTCGTCTCAACGGTCATCACCACCATCCTGTCCTGTGCTGGCAACTGTTACGCGGCAATGCAACGACTCATCTACAAGGCCGGGCAGGAGCCCACGCTCACGCCTCTGTACTCCCTCGTGAGCAATGCCCTGGTCTCTGCCGTGCTCGGCTGCAGTGTGAGGCACTTTGCTGCCATCGAACGCGCCATGTTTGGCCACTTGGTGAGTCCATGTGTTGCCTGAGGCTCAGGTGGAGAGGTGGACAAGAGGGGGGGGGGCAAGCGTTGCGTATACTGGTGTGGCGGAGATGTTGAGTGTTTGTGGTTTGTGTGGCTGGGCACACATGTTTTGTGTTGCGGTGTGTCCTTGCAAAAAGGCTTGTGTTTGCTTTCTATGACAAGCGCAATACAACCACTATTTCACAACAAATACACGCACACACGCACACACACGCGCGCGTACACGCACACACACATGTATGCATACACGCGCATTCACTCACACATACACACGCGCGTCCGCGCACTGGCGTACACTGTAGACGGATGCACGATTCTTCACGCGACTGCTGGTGCACGACATGTGGCTGTCCCTTTGCCCGGCGTTCTCCCTGCATGTGATGGAGAACCACATCCAGTTGCTGGTTCACATGGCAGATGAACAGCGACAGCGCGAGTTGGAGGACCAGGCTTTGAGCAAACCAGGAAAGGGCAAGAAAGGCGCACACTTTGCCCTGGTTCCCTTCACCAACCGCCTCATCTATCGCTATGTCAGCTCCATTGGCGGGGACGCTTTGGCCCTGTGCAGCCGCTTTGAGGCGAGCAGCGTTCGCTCGAGTGCCTGGCGCCTTGTGTCCTTTGCCCCCTTTGCTGCGTCGTGCAAAGCAGATGCCATCCTCGCGTCGGCCCTTCCGTCCCCTGTTCCACCCGCAGACGATGTCGTGGCGTTGGCAGACTGCGCGCTCGTCATCGCCAACTTTGTGCCGTGGCTGGCGGCCAGCGGGCTGATTGAAGCGCATATCATGGCCCTGGACCAGGCTGCAAAGGCCCACCCGGCCAACCTGAGCCTCCAGGTGTGAACCCTAAGCCCTTGTCGATCATAACTCACATCACACCCATACACACCTGTACATTATTGTTGTACACAAGCACACGCATGCACAAGCACGCACATACACAAGCACGCACATACACACACATACACGCACGCACACATACACACGCGTACGCGCACTGCTTCACACACCAGCTCACTACATTGTGTTGTTTTTGACCCGCAACGCTGTTGGTGCAGGTTGCGGTGGCGCAGCTCCTCTCTGCCATGGTTAGCTCGCCCACATTTCAGAATAGCCCGTTTGTGACGTCCTTGTTTGAGCACGTCATTCAAGCGAGTGCCACGCTTGCGGGCAGTGGCATGCTCATGGCAGCGTGCCACTCCCTCTTGGTTGCTTTTGGGCATATCACCCTCGATGACAACGCAGTTGCTCAGGTGAGACAGCAGCGTACATGTGTACGCGCATATTCGCACACACACAAACACATTTCAAACACATCACGCACACACAAAAACACACACACACACACACACTTCAAACACTCACGCACACACGTATACAATCAATTGTTTAGCGATGGTGTAGCTCATCACTCACTCCATTGCCGCTGACCTCCACCGTTGTCATGCCTGAATTTTTTTTTTTTTTTGTTGGTGCTCTCAGTTGACCACGTTTGTGGGCAACCTTGCTTCAGCCGCAACCCCGGAGTCGCTTGTGGAGTTTTCTTTGTTTGTGCACCTGCGGGCATTCGCGAAGGCCACGCCAAATCCGCAGGTGCTGCCGACAATATTGGGTGGGGAATCGTCGCCCGCGTTCGCCAAGTTCACGGCGATTCTGAAGCAGCAGCCGCTCGTCAGCACCACTCGGCTGTTGCCGGCAGACACAGAGACGGCCCTCTCCTGGATTGCCTCAAAACAGCAGCGCCTACACCGTCGTAGTGCATGTCGACAAGGCGGCTCTCACGAGACCCCGAAAGCTATTCTGGACTCGTTGCAGCTGGCGCTTCAATCTGACCCACCTGCGTGGTTTGTGGCTGAACTCAGAACAATGGCGCTTCGCCTTCCTCCCAACCCACGATGACGATGCTGATGACGATGATGATGATGATGATGATGATGGTGATGATGATGATGGTGGTGGTGGTGGTGGTGATGCATGAGTGTGTTGTTGGATTGATCAGTGATGCTCGTTAATTCTCTGTGATTATTGCTAGCCGACCCTCGTGTGTCTTCCATGTTTGTGTTACACGCCAGCTTAACTTGAAGCCGAACCTGGTTTGTGTAATTAATCAATGTATTGTTGTAGTGTGCTGTTTCGACTAAACACAAAGACATGACGCAACTCTCGTCCACACGTGTGAGCACATCCCGTCAGTGGACACGTATGCATGCACACACGCGCACACACATGTTCAGACACACACACGCACACATGCACAGACACACGCACACACTCCCTCTTTCCCTCTGATCACACGTTCAACACAGGAGACGACGCGACAAAGCACCACAACCAAACACGTCAAAGTGTGCCACATACAATCACAAGGATTCATCTACATGGGATGAGACAGCACGCCGTGCAGCGGATGCCTCAAGCTCCCGGGGAATCATGCGAAGAAAACGTGTCTGCAACTGATAGTGAACAACAGACACAGCAAAATACATGGCGCATGTAAGGGTGATGTGATGTGTGAAATGTGCATTAAGACTGCAGCATGGCAACGCCCCTCCAGTACACATGGCAACAACAACAACAACAACAACAACAACAACAACAACAACAACAACAACAACAACAACAACAACAACAACAACAACACACAACGTACATGCCATTCCATTCATGACTTGCTTGCAGCGTCATCTTGACTCACCCATGTCAACCATGGCATTCAATTATGCAGATGAGTCCTCGGTGAACTCGAGCAGTTCATCACTCTTCTGCCTGAGCACGCGAATCACCGCCTGCCCACGCCCAACCGCAACGTCGTCCATGGTAACGGCAACCGCAACGTCGTCCTCGTGCACCTCCATGGGATCGATGAGACTCCGCTGCCCTTTGAACTGGAGCGCCGTGTGTTGCAGGGAATCGGCACTCGTGTCGATGAGGAACGTGTCTGTCGGGGCCAGTTCCACCTCCTTTGCCGTCTGCTGCCTCGCCTGCTGCCGCTCAATGTCGTATGCGACAAGATACGGAGGCGGTGGCCGATACACTGCCGTCATCACTTGCTCCCGAACTCGAGACCCCTTGTACTGGGCGGCCAGCGGGTACTGCGGTGGCGGTGCGTAGCCCGGAGCCGCGCGAGAATCGTTGCCCAGCAGGGCATCCAGCCCCGGTGGCTTGAGGGTGAGCAACGACGCCCTGGCAGCCGCGTAAGGCGGGGGCGGCTGATACTCTGGCTCTGCCAGATCGCCCTCACCTTCGCCGCCGTCACCCGCGTCATCGCCGACGGTCAAACCCCGAGATGCTGCTGATTCCAGCTTCTCTTGCAGAGCACGCATGTCTGCGTCATCCTCATTGCCGATGAACCCACGCCTGTGCTGGGAATTTCTGGCCGTGGACGTGCTGCGGCGGAGCGCTGCGCCCCTGTGGTCGTCGTCGCCGCTGCCAAACTTGGTCACGTCGCGCCTGCGTGCTGCGGGAACACCACCGCTCCCACCAGCCTCACTGCTGTCAGCGCCCTCTTCGGGTCGGTCGAGCCCCTCGCTGTCGTAGACGAAGTTGACCACTGAACGCGCAAACGTTTGGTGTGTGGGGCTTTCGCCTTCTGTCAGGTCGGACTGGAAGTCATCATCCCCGGTGTCGTTGGGAGCAAACACACCGGACGTGTCCGTGATGGTAACAATAGACTCGCGGCCTTCACCGAGCACATAGGTGCCACCACCGTGCGAGCGCGTTTCCGGATCGCGGAGGAAGATCTTGTAGCCCATGCACTTGTGCTTGGTGCACTGGTAGTACAAGATGGCGGGGCTGTCCATGGGTGGCTTGAAGACGACGGTGTCGTTCTCAGCCGCTGGCGTGTTGCTCACACCGCGCAGGTACTCCATGATGCCGTTGCCGCCACCGACGTCAGAGTAGGTGATGTAGAACGGGTAGTCCTTGGGGACGTTGCACATCCTGAAGTGGTACGTGCGCCCGCGAACCAGCTCAATGTCTCGGCCGGGGACGAAGTCCTCCTTGCTGCCAACCTTGCGAATGGAGTAGCCCTGATCACTGCCGCGGCCAGTCCAGGGGTGATCTGTCGCGTCGATGCGGTAGGGCTGCTTGCGCTCCACTACCACCTCAAACGTGACGGGTCGAGTGGCCCGCCGAACGTAGCCAGCGAGGGCGATGATGATGCACAGCATCACGGCCAGCAAGACAACTGCCAGTTGCCAATCACCGATGCTGGCGATTTGTTGCGAACCCGCCACGGTCGGTGAAACGGAGCCCGAGTAGACGAGGCTGTAGCTGGGGAAGAGCGAGATGGTGCCGTTGACGGAACCGGTGTCGTTGAGCGGGATGCACACCCACGCATTGGAGAGCAGGTAGATGAAGAGGCCCTCACACGTTGGCTCCTCATTGCACACAATCACGCAATCGTCAACGCTCGAGGCCGGTGCAAGCGCTGCCGCAGGATCAAACGCAGTATCAAACCGTCGCCCAGATACCGGCGTGAACGTGACCTCGTAGCCGTCATCCTCTGCTGGAAACTCTACCGGCAGCACAGGCAGTGTTGTTGTTGTTGTTGTTGTTGTTGTTGTTGTTGTTGTTGTTGTTGTTGTTGTTGTTGTTGTTGTTGCTGTTGGCGTGGACAGGATGGTACTGCCACTACCAGATTCGGACGACGTTGTGGCCGAAGCTGTGGTTGAAGTTGTGGTCGTGGAAGTGAAACTGCCACTTCCACTTTCGCTGCTCGAGGTGGATGTTGTTGTTGTTGTTGTTGTTGTTGTTGTTGTTGTTGTTGTTGTTGTTGTTGTTGTTGTTGTTGTTGTTGTTGTTGTTGTTGTTGTTGTTGTTGTTGTGGTCGTGGTAGTGGTCGTGACGGGTGTTGTAGTTGACATAGTCACTGTTCCACTTCCGCTTGAAGTCGTCTGATAGGCGGTTGTTGTTGTTGTTGTAGTAGTAGTAGTAGTAGTAGTAGTAGTAGTAGTAGTAGTAGTAGTAGTAGTAGTAGTAGTAGTAGTAGTAGTAGTAGTAGTAGTAGTTGTTGTTGTTGTTGTTGTTGTTGTTGTGGTGGTGGTGGTGGTGGTTGTGGTTGTTGTTGTTGTTGTGTTTGTTGTCGTCGTTGTCGTCGTTGTTGTTGTTGTTGTTGTTGTTGTTGTTGCTGACGATATTGTTGACATGGTTCCGGTTCCACTTCCGCTCGACGTTGTCTGAGAAGTGCTTGTGGTGGTGGTGGTTGTCGTTGTACTCGTGCTTGTCGTCAATGTTGTTGTTGTTGTTGTTGTTGTTGTTGTTGTTGTTGTTGTTGTTGTTGTTGTTGTTGTTGTTGTTGTTGTTGTTGTTGTTGTTGTTGTGCTCGTTGTAGTTGTGGTCGTAGTAGAAGTACTCGTGGTTGTTGTAGTACTCGTGGTTGTAGAAGTACTCGTCGTCGTTGATGATGATGTTGTTATGGTGGTGGTCGCTGTACTCGTTGTTGTTGTTGTTGTTGTTGTTGTTGTTGTCGTGGTGGTGGTGGTGGTAGTGGTTGTTGTGGTGGGTGCAACTGGCGTTGCAGTTGACATGGTCGCTGTACCACTTCCGCTCGAAGTTGTCTGATAAGCGCTTGTGGTGGTGGTGGTGGTGGTTGTCGCTGTACTCGTGCTCGTGGTTGTTGTTGTTGTAGTTGTTGTAGTTGTTGTTGTGGTGGTGGTTGTTGTTGTTGTTGTTGTGGTGGTGGTTGTTGTTGTTGTTGTTGTTGTTGTTGTTGTTGTTGTTGTTGTTGTGGTCGTGGTAGTGGTAGTAGTAGTAGTAGTAGTAGTAGTAGTAGTAGTAGTAGTTGTACTCGTTGTAGTTGTGGTGGTTGTTGTTGTGGTTGTTGTAATTGTTGTAGTTGTTGTAATTGTTGTAGTTGTTGTTGTGCTCGTGGTAGTAGTAGTAGTAGTAGTAGTAGTTGTCGTTGTTGTTGTAGTTGTAGTTGTTGTTGTTGTTGTTGTTGTTGTTGTGCTCGTGGTTGTGGTAGTAGTTGTTGTTGTAGTTGTTGTAGTAGTAGTTGTAGTAGTAGTAGTAGTTGTACTCGTTGTAGTTGTGGTGGTTGTTGTTGTGGTGGTTGTTGTGGTGGTTGTTGTTGTTGTACTCGTTGTTGTTGTTGTACTCGTTGTAGTTGTGGTGGTGGTGGTGGTTGTAGTTGTAGTTGTGCTCGTGGTTGTTGTTACGCCTGGATCTGACGCGGTGGTTGTCGTTGTGGTCGTGATGATAATCTCACAACGCTCTCCACTCGTGCCTGTTGGACACTTGCAGACTGCTTCAAAGCTGTCTTCGCGCAAGGGAGCAGCCGTGGTCATGGCTGTAGACGTGCCATTGATGGTGTTTGCGACCAGCACGTTTTCGCACTCACCACCGTTTTCACAGAAGTCGTTGTTGCGGCATGGGAGTTCAAGGGCCTGCTGCAGTTCGAGCGCGCCAATGCGTGCCTGACCTTTCCGGGCACGCGCAATCACGCGTAGTGGGAAGGTCACGTTCTCAACGACACGCTCGAGGGCGAAGGCCTGGCCAGGGAAGCGGTATAGGAGGTTGTAGTCGAAGGAGGCGAAGATGCGGCGATCATTGACATAAAAGTCGGCCACGTCCGTGCTTGGCGCCACGAACGTCGGTTGTGCCAGGTGAATGCGCATGAGGTAGTCTCTGCCGGAGGCAGTGGGGATGAGGTATTCAACCTCGTCCACGCCAGGCTCAGAGCCGCGGGCAGAGCCGAGCAGGGTGTTGCTGGAGATGTTGGCGTACGTGATGGGCGTTCCAGATGAAAAGTAGGCATCTGCCAACCACTCTCTGCCGTCGACACTGTTGGTGCTGTTGCCGCCGCAGTTGATGCGCGCAAACGGCAGAAGCACAAAGGTGTCGGTCGCATCTCGCTCAGGGCCAACATCTGGAGCCTGGGCCATGCTTCGACGTGCCCTCGTCGAAACTGTTGTGAGTGTGTGTGTGTGTGTATACGTGTGTGCGTGTGCGTGTGTATGTATGTGTGCGTGTGCGTGTGTGTGTGCGTGTGTGTGTACGTGTGTGTGTGCGTGTGTGTGTACGTGTGTGCGTGTGTGTGCGTTTGTTGTTGAAGAGGGGAAAGTGGGTGTTGAGCACAAGGAGTGGAAGCGTGTGTGTGTGCGTGTGCATTTTGTGTGTGAGAACGAGCGAAAGGGAAGAAGAAGAAGAAGAAGAAGAAGAAGCAGGGCTGTGGCGTGACGAACACATGCGTGCCCGCGGGGCGCGTGACTTTGTGGCTGATGCTGTGCCCTGTCACTGCACGCGGGGGTGATGA